AATCCAGGTGTTTATTCAGGAATCACTGCGTGGTTCATGGCTAATGGTACCTGGTCCTTCTGTAAGAACTGTTGTAAGAACTGATGGAATCTGGAGCAGATTTCATCAACGGAAAATTTTACACGTTTCAGACAATGACCTACATGCCTACGAAACAGTAAACCTTACTTTGCCGAGGCACCCCCTTTGCACCAGCAGCTCCCAGTTGTTAGTGCGAGTAGCTTGTGGAAAAAAGGCAACCAGATCTACTTTCTCCCCCACCCATTTCCATGTAACTTGAATTCACCTCTCTCCAACTTTTCACCACATTACTACTTCCCTGGACTCTTCCCAGCCTTCCCCAATGCTCTCACCACATACACCTTCTTCCTCAGCCACAGTCTCGCTCTTTCCCCATTTCCCGCTAAGCCCTCGCCAGCTCTGTCTCACCTTAACCCTTCTGTGGGTCCCTGGGCCCTGGCAGCACGGGGGGACCCGCTGCCCCACAGCTCATCCCACCTGCAGCCTTGCCCTGCCCGGGGGGACTCCCGCCCCACAGCTCAGCTAGGGCTCCCAGTGCAAGTACCGCACTTCAGACTGCACTGAACAGAGCCCTCCGTCAACACAAATTATCACGGTTTTAGACAGGTGGTTAAATGAACTTTATCAAAAAGACTATTAGCTAAACTACAGGCTGGTAAGAGCGCAGTGCTGAGCTGGGTAATACTGGGTCTTTATACAGGAGGGTCCTACTCCGTACTTCCTTTTGTTACATCGAGATTACTTTACAAAAAGGTTCCCAAGACTACTGTTTTACTTACACAGGTCGCGACAGCTCTCCCTTGAAAGGCTGTGGCAAAACTACATATGAACTCAGCAGATCGAGCAACGATCTATGATGCTGTCCTATACTCCACATAAAAACAATTTTTGAGCGAAACTTTTCTTTTACAATTACTTTTTATCTGTAGTTTTAATATAGTAATTTTAATGCTTTGTTTATGTCTTTGGTCTCTATTTCCTCTCTACTGACTTAAGCCTAAATTCCTGGGAGACAGCAAGCCGCCCATAGTGGCTGCAGTCCTTCGAGCCATCCACAGAAATGAGCAGCCGACGGGATTACAGCTTGTACTGTACACTGATACACAACCCACAAGATCGAGGGTCCAGGTGGTTGTTTCGAGCATCACAGGATCAAGTAGATGGAAACTCTGTGCCGACACCTCAGTAATAAATTCCCATAAAGGATCGGTAAGTTTAAAATAACGAGCAGCTCAAATGTAAATATAATGATCTTACTATGTTTTATACAAAAATACATATATTCTCCTCTACTAGGGTTCTCTTAAATGGGGTAAAGATTGCCAGGACTACCAGATTGCTACTCAGATTGCAACAGGGCAATTTGCTGCTTACCCAGCTATGCGGATGAAGCTGGAGTGGCCAAAAGTACCTTCAGCAGTCCGAACAACCGCAAGATGGTGAGATATTACTTTCGTTTTCAAAAAATTCACCTGTGTCAATGCTCCAGATAATTCCAGATTTGGTTCTGCAATTTCCGAGCTGGAAAAATTCCCCTTAATCAGTATGATACTATAAAGTCAGATCACACATGTCTGGTTTTTCTGTGTATTCATTCCCTCAAAGCACAGTGTGTTTTAGTTTGCAGGAAAACTGCTTGAAACAAAGGGGATGATGGGATTCACCTAATCTATTGCACAGTTTGAATTCATAGTGCCTGAACTAGGAAATTGGTCTCCTGCTGCTTCCTAATTGATGGAGGCCGAGAGCAGAGGCCTGACCTTGGTTCCCTGAAGGAGTCTGTCTCTGCCTGCCTGTACAGGGAGAGGCGTCTCCTAACGCAGGCACCTCACCTCCCGCTTCTGAAGCAGGTGATACAAATGCTTCCCGTGAGGCTTATTGAACATGAATGTTATCTGACGCTTAGCGTAGGAAAACTGTAAGTGCTGGATTCAGCTCACATAGATGTCTGTCCATATACATACAGTATCTATTGTATTCATTCATTTTATTCATGCATGCATTTGCCCACAATAACGTATAGATCCGTATCAAAGCCTAATCTTTTTTCACAGAGCTTCTAAAATACAGGCACAGACAACAACTCAGTTATCTAAACACGCATGCAACACAAGCTTTCACGTTAAAGGCACACAGGTGATTTGGTTAGCAAATGTCTACTGAAGAAGATAATTTCTTACATTATATCGAATTACGCGAAGCGCTGTCATCTGCCCTTATGAGAGGGGATGAAACCATCCCATTGACTAGCCTGGAGCAAAGCCACAGAATGCAGCTTTTTTCTGCTCTGAGACTATGCCTTTTTTTGAAGGAGTATTTTCTGTATTTCTCTGAGTCCCAAGCCCATAAGAGAACCCCATCATAGAGATTCCTCTGTCAACTCATTGACAGTCTCAGTGGGTGAAGGATCCTTGCTAAGAGTGACTGCTGCAGGACCGACACATTAATACGAGGTCATCTATTTTTTAGCATTTTAGTATTTTAGTTCTAATGTAACCGGTGCCTATTTTTAACTCTGAATGCTTTTAAAACAAGTTGGCTATACTTTTCTCCTCCAACAACCGCACCATCCAGTCTCTTGCAGACTGGTTCACCCATTAACAGTTAAAATCTGCCTGCCCCTCCTGCCAGACACAACACCAGGTATTATCAAGCCCTGATACAAATGTGTCTAACACAGAATGCATATTGCTTTCTGGGGATATTTAATCTGAACAAATAATAACCAATTTTCTCAAAGACAGACCATTTGAATCACTTCCTTTTCCAGGTTCTACTCATTTCTTCCAGGAGCTGCATATGTGCTTGGGTATTCCCAAAAGCAATGGCGTGGTCCCTCGCACCAGGCAACCTTGGTTATGGCTCTGACATCTCCAAGAACCTGTGATGTGATCCTCAAGCTACCTGAGGTAACTATTTCCACTATCTTTTATCCTGGGGCATTGAGTACTTACGAAATCGAGGATTAATAGGCTTTTTAACCCACTGATTTTATTTTTTTTTATATTTATTAAACGATAAAGAAGATCCCATCACAAGGACAATATATTCACACCGTTGGTTCCATTATGAAAATGTCTTACAATGCATTTCTCTTTCTCACATAGCATGCAAACACATGAAATAAGAAACAGGTTACAAAACAACCATCATGATTGATTGCGTATTAACAATAACTTATTAATAAGCCCTCTCTTTCCCAAATCTTAAGGAAGATAATAGGTTTTCCTGTGTCTTGGAAAACAGAATAAACCAGGCTGTAGAGAACCATGACAACTAAATAGCAGCCCTCAACATATAGGCAAGGAGAGGGTGTGCATCTCAGGTAAGCAAATTGTTTGGACTCTGAGCAAATGTGATGTACAACTCCCCAAAAAGCTGCAAACTGGTGAATATCAAACTTCATTTATAGCACTTCTATTCTCTAGGTTGTAGATGTGTCAAACTGTTGAGCTATTTCATGCTGTAGACAGAGGAATTGATTTCCTCTTTAGCTCTGACCTAATTCTAGATACTAATTTAGATTTCAGTCAGTGCAGTCCTCTTTGAACGTCATAGGAAAATGCTATCTCATCTCTACACTGTATTTTGCATTTACATTCATGTTCGTTTTCTGACTGGTTTTCAGCTCATAATTTACGAGCGAGCCATCAGGCTTCCCCTGCCATTCCCTTCAAGTCCAGATACACCGATCTCAACACTGCCATCCCCTGCCCGGAACGACTTTTCCCAAGCAACGCTTTCAATCATTGAAAACCTTAAAGGTCAGCAATTAACTTATCTGCACAAGCATTGATTGACTTTGCAGATTTTGTAAAACTGATTTATACTTTTGACATAACTTGAAATTATTTTACAATCACTTAAAAATCAATTGGACTTCAAATAAAAATAAACCCATCTGTACAAAAATCTGTGAGGCTGCAAAGATGTAAAGAAAAGGAAACTTATTATTAGTAAGATTAAATATTCCGTTCCATGCCAAATAGTGATTCCAAATGTATCCATTCCCAAATGCATCCATTTAAACTTCACTGCAGGAATTGCTCGTGAAGAAAAAAACATTACAAAATTTATGAGAGGGCCAGCTAAGTGACCTCAGGTTTGGGGTGCCCTGCTTGATTAGTGCTGTTATGTAGAAGCTAAAACAGCTTCAAAAGTATACCCATTAATTTCACCTCCTGCACTTGATTTTGGAGGGATTATTGTTTCATTAATGCTGTATTAAGAGCTAATCAGATTATACTTAGGGTAAATTCTATTTGGAAAACCTTTACGTAATACTGGGATAAGGAGTCACATTTTGCTCAAAATCGGTGGGCTAATATCATACCTATGTATATTTCTTTGGTAAACACCAAAACTAGTCCGTATTAATTAAAATTGCTATAAAATAATTTCTAATCAGAGCTGGTAGGCTTTCCACCAAAATACCATTAGAGTGAAAAAGGGAGAGGTTTACTGCAGTGTGCCTTTTTTTCCTCCCCATCTTCTAACGATTTCTCATCCTGGTTATGATTCAATAATGGCAGCAGCATTTTAGTGCGTTTCCTCCAGTGTTAATGATACGTGAATTGTTAACAGCATTTGAGAAATTCTTTTGACTACAACAAAGTTACAAAAGCCAAAAGGCCGCAATCAGGGAGTTGCCCCAGCTGTGAGCAGAATTTATCTCACACAACGATTGAATCATGAGCGGGTTGTGCTGCTGTCTGGGGACTGGCAAAGTTTTGCTTTTGTATTACTACAAATCCAATATTTCATCTGAAGGAATCATTTTGCTTTGATGTGGCAATAGGCAAAACCAGAAAATGGTCTTTTTTTTTTTTTAATTACAAATCTAAAATAGAATAACTAACTGTCTTGTATAAAGTATAAGAGGCTTGCTTATGACTGATTTTTTTTTTCAGCTCATTGTTCAGTTCTCCAAAATACAATCACAACCTTCAATGGAGTTGAATTTAACTATTCAATGCCTGCAAATTGCTACCATGTCTTGGTGCAGGACTGTAGTCCAGAACTGAAATTCCTGGTGATGATAAAGAGACCTGAAGAGTCTGCTGACCTTACAGCAATAAATGTCAGACTCGCCAGCCAGTAAGTAATTGCAAACTTAGCAACAAATAGATGTCAAGCTGAATATGCTATAAATGCGAAGACCAGATTGTTAGGGCAGATCAGTGCTAGCATAAGTCTCATGCAAAAATTACCGACAGAAAGATTTCTAGGAGTGTCACTGGGATTTGGGAATTTGTCTTTCAAAAGTGCTTCTGAAATACATCTGATATTCACAGTAGCCAAAACTCTTTACTGCCCAGAATTCTTCATTAATTTGTTAGCATTTAACCATCTCATTTAATTTCTTAGTAATTAGGTAGACACATAAACTATAAATCCAAAAGGGGTTATTGTAATCATTTAGTCTGGCCTCCTACACTAAGCTAATAATTAGAACTAATTAGCACCCACAATCATCTCAGCAGAGATGTTGAGAAGTGGACATAGCTAAAAAGGGAATTACTTATCCCAGATTAGAGGCACTCTCTTAGGTCATCCCTCAGTTGGTGCATAATGTTCTATTCTATTTGAAATTAACTTAAGACACACTTTGTTCTAATCTATTTGAAGTTAACTTAAGACACACATTGTTTCATCTTGGAGCAATCGCCTCTGCCATCATAGGTTTTTCTTTAAAAGTATAGGCTGATACTCTAAATTGTATGGGATTATGCATACCAAAATCATTGTAGGGAGTATTCTTCAAAGCACGTAAACAGGCTTTGTTCTATAAGGTTTCATTACAAGTAATTATTTATTTCTGAAAATTGTGTGCCTAACTGTGCCATAACGTTAGAGACACAGAAAGAAACTTGTATTCACTGCACCTGTTTTGTGGAAGAACAGAAGGATGCTTGTTTTATAGACTGTATCTTTTGTGATAAGGGCATTCCTCATCCCTGTATCATTCCCAATTGTTTCATACAACTGTATGGATGTGCTTTTGATGTGCTTGAGCTTCATATTTCTTCATTAGAGCAAACACTGCTCTGAAGAAAATACTACAATACACAGACCATTCAGGCTGTAAGAGAACCGCCGTAGGGAATCCACCTTTGAAATGTAGAGCACCTTCCATATATGCAAACGTAATAGCAATTATATTGTTCTGCAGCAAGGGAGCAAGGGTCCCTGCACCTGGTGTCCTCCTGCCTGAACCGTGGCCACAAGCAGACACTCAGAGATGAGTAAAGCCAGGGAAAGGTGTTTCCTGAGCACTGCGCCTGGCACGCTTTCCTGGGCTCTTTCAATCTTCCTCCCAAAGGGAGCAGGGGATTCATGCCAGAATGATACGAGCATCCTGGAGTGTTAGCTCTACCAGGACTAGAAATTGTGAGCTGAGTAGGGCAAAGGAGAAGCATTTGTTTATACTCATTTCCTTTACTTAAAGTGAAGTTGACATGTATGTTTCCAATGGACTCGTCCAGTTGAAGATTAATGGTGTTCAAGCCCCAACAGATGTTCCATACACATCTAATTCTGGTAAGAGACTCATCTTTATATTTCTTTTAATCTTTTCCGATCTTTTGAAGAAGGAGAGGACGTGATCCGAGAACACCTCTCAAGATAAAGATCACCCTAATTTGCGAAACAATTCATCACAGGTGATTTTAACATACCTTCATGCTGCCTTTCATAGGGGGTGGCAAGGAAGTCGAGCAAAGAAGGAGATGCTGATCGTGTGTATCTTTGCAGAAACCCAATCATGCAGGGCTGGGACACCTTGGGCTGATTACAGAGACCCACAGAACAAGCATCGAGATGTCCCCTGGCCTCAGCCACCCTTCTCACAGGGCTTCAGCTTGTTCTAGGGCAGGGAGCAGTACCGTCTTTCTCATTTCCCCCCTCTCTTTCAAGACACATTAGGACCTGCCTTAAGTCCCCAGGAATTTAACAAGTAGTTCAGGTTGGACCCTAAAAAAATAACTTCCTTTCAAAAGAAATCCCTTTTTGCTTTTCTGTTGCAGATGCAAGCATGCTGATCAGCAGCCAAAAGGACGGCTTGTCGCTAAAAGCCCCGGATTATGGCATAGATAAACTATATTATGATGGGCATAGACTTGAGGTATTTTTTAAAAATTATTTTCAGTGGGTTTATTTTTAGAAGAACAACATTTAAGCGTATCTTTTCTTTATTTCCACAAAGATTCAGGTTGCTTTCTGGATGGCTGGAAAAACATGTGGTATTTGTGGAAAATATGATGCTGAGAAGGAAAGGGAATATCAAATGCCCAGTGGATATTTAGCTAAAGATGCAGTGAGTTTTGGTCAGTCCTGGATCATCTCGGAAGACCCCTGTGCTGGAGGTACTAAGATTTTAACAGATATTAATGTCATTCCCTTTGACTAATTAATTAGTCTCATGAATAAATGATTTATATTAATTGTAGCACAATCATCTTATTTTTCACTATTTTTGTGATTAGTGGCCATAGACTAAAAAAAAAAATATGTTTTTCCCGAGTTTGGCAATTCATTCTAAGTTCTGGTTTTGTTGCATTTTTATATCAACTTCTTATGCACTATGTAGTTACCCAAAGTTTGTGTGTTTCAGATAAAATTATAAACTTAAAGCTCCCTAAGATGATAAGTTAGTATGAAAAGTAGGTAGTTTGACTGTTGACAAAAGACATCTTATGTCATGCTTAATAGTTTCATTCTTTATTTCCATTCTGTTATTTCCAGGTTTTTAGTTTCCCAGAAAAAAATTTAAAATCTAGCCTTTGCTATCAAACTAGAGGGCATTTGAGGTGGGAAATACCTGTTTTAATTTCCTCTGGCTGAAGATTAACTTAATCTGAAACCTTCAGCCTGGGAATGATTGTTCCTACTATCCAGGTCCTATATAAAAACAAGGACACGAATATATTGATAACATCAGGGTGCGATGCATTTTGTGTGGAACCCAGCCCTCTGGGCACGTGGTGGCATTTTCGGAATATATTCTTAGATCAAGCTCCCCCGGAGGGACTAGTCCAGGAAAGCCTGGATCACAGAGGCTTACGGACTAAGCTACTCAGCCATGGCAAGGCAGGTGTGAAGTGGATATACGGGTGTCCAGGAGCCTCTACTGCCCCAAAATGAAATGCTGTCATAGTTTGGGTAAAGTTGAGTGTCAGTTGACCAAGATTTTCACATGTATCTTTTTGGATTTGGACACCTGTGTCCTACCAAGATCCTATTTGGCCAGCCTCTGTCCTTGGACTGAGCCCTACATGGCCGATTTTCTCAGAGCCTAAGCCATTGCCAGAAAACTGACTCGCTTCAACCAGATCAGTTTCACGTAGCTTCTGTCACTGGGTTCACCCATCGGTCCCAGTGGTTGCTAGTTATCATAGAATGGTTTGGGTTGGAAGGGACCTTAAAGATCACCTAGTTCCAACCCCCCTGCTGCGAGCAGGGACACCCTCCACTAGACCATGTTCTACAGTTACTTATATAAATTCTATAGGTGCTTTAAGACAATTCATGTTTTATAGCTTGTAAGCTGCAGCGCAAATTTGTCAAAATTGAGAAGCCGGTTGCATTTGAGAAGGCGGCAGCAAAATGTTTCTCGGTGGAGCCAGTGCTGCGCTGCGCAGAAGGCTGTTCACCAACCGCGGCTGTTCCCATCTCCGTGGGCTTCCACTGCGTACCAGCTGGTGAGTCTGCAGAACGGGTACTTGTGCACGACACAACCCGTATGTCCGACTGTGATTCTGTGAAAACCCGTGAGGTTGATGGTACTAACATGTACACGAACCCCTCACACGACCTCTTTTTCTTCTTTTCTCGCTTACAGACTCCGCTCTCGACCTGGAAGGCCAGATTAGGTTTGACCAGAAATCGGAGGACGTCGTGAGCACGGTTTCTGCTCACACGGCGTGTTCCTGCCAACAGCAGC